CACCCCTAGCGGCAGCAACAGCGCCAACAGCACCTCCAGCTGCAGTACCTCCAGCAGCACCAGCAGCACCCGCAGCAGGACCGCCGCCAGGACTGACAGCAGTAGCCTCAGCGCCAACACCCTCAGCAGCTCCAGCTCCAGTTGTACCCGCAGGCCCAGCAGCTCCAGCGCTCCCAGTACGAGCACCTCCGGGACCGGCGGCACCAGCACCCTCAGCAGCCGAAGAAGCTCCAGCTCCAGCAGAACGCCTCCAGCGCCGGGCAAACCACTCGCGCAGCTCCTGTGAAGAGAGTGGCTCCCGCCGATACGAAGCACCCGGAGGACCTCCAGGCCCAGCACCGCCAGACGCCACACGAGCAGGCCCAGCGGCCGCCGGCTCCGCACCCCCAGGCTCAGCAGCTCCAAACGTGGCACCCCCAGGCTCAGCACCCCCAGGCTCAGCACCCCCAGGCGTAGCACCCCCAGGCTCAACACCCCCAGTCTCAGCACCCCCAGGCTCAGCACCCCCAGTAGTACCACCCGAAGGCCCAGCACCCCCAGGCGTAGTACCCACATGCTCAGCACCCCCAGAGTAAGCACCCCCAGGCTCAGCACCCGCAGCAGCACCAGAGTCACCAGTAACCTCGACAGGCTCAACTGCGTCTACCTGGGACACACCTGAAGGGGCAGGACCCTGAGGGGGGAGGGGGTCTACCGGGGGGGGACCTTGCACAAGGAAGAGCGGTGGCGGGGGGAGGGAAGGAGTGCGGTAGGGGAAGAGGCGGTAGTAGGGGACCGACTCGTCAAACGTGACGTCCTGGGAGGACAAAACACGACGAGAGGTGGGGTGGTAGAACTGCCACCCTGGCGCGTCAGGGGGGAAGCCAAGGAAGACGCAGGGAGCAGCACGAGGGGACAGCTTGTCCGCAGACAAGTCGCGGACAAACGCCCGAGATCCCCAGACACGGAACGCAGACGCATCGCCTACCTTCACCGTCCACAGCAAAGCTGGGGAGGTCTCCGGCATGGAGACCCTGAGGTGAAGGTTGATCTGATGCGCCGCGTACCGAACCGCAAACGGCCACAGAAAATGGGGGGCAGCCGCATGCATCATGGACGTACGGGCGACGTCCATGACCATGCCAATGCGGCGCTCAGCAATCCCTTTTTGCTGTGGAGAGTCCGGAAGCGTAAAGGTCTGGCGGATGCCTCGCGCACGACAGTAGGCTCGCAGAAGGCCAGAGGAGAACTCTCCGCCTCGGTCAAAGTGCAGACGCAGAACAGGAAAGTCTGAGCCGAATCTCCTCCTGAGCTGGAGACGAGCTGCGCGGATCCAGTCGATCAACACCTCAGTGACATTACCCTTGCTGCGCAAGGGGAAGACTGTGGTGTAACGCGAGTAGTCGTCAACCACCAGCAGGAAGTAGCGCTCGTGACCCTGCCCACGGACGCGGGCCGGGCCCCACACGTCCATGTGAAGCGTTTGCAGCGGGGCCTCTGTCGGGGGAAACTGAGAGGAGTGAGGGGCAGCCCGCAGCCGCCCCTCGACACAGGGGACGCAGGTAGGGCCAGGCCCCGGAGGAAGGGGAGGGAGGGACCGGGGAAGACCAGAGACAAGGACACGGGAGGCCATGCCTCGGAGACGAGGCAAGGAGGGGTGACCAAGGCGGTGGTGCCACAGGAGAGTCTCGTGAGACAGGAGGCGACACGAGCAGGGGGCAGACTCAGGACCAGACCTGGACGCTGCAGCAAACACCTGACCCGACACAGCTACCTGACCAGACGCAGTGACAGGAGGAGACTCACTGGTCAGGGTGTACAGGCTCGACCCCGGCCGACGCGTAAACGTGGCCAGGTGCCGGCCTGTGCGAGCGTCCGAGCAGTGGGTCACCCGCTGACTCGCAGGAGTAAACTGGTGAACCCCTGCATCCTGTAGGTCAGCACCACTCACCAATTTCGTAGAGAACGAGGGGAGGTAAAGACTAGACAGGGTGCCAGAGGGGGCCGCCGGACACGGGAGGACAGTGGAGACGTGAGAAAGGACAGGACCCCCAGAGGGGTCTGCCAGGGAGACTGCAACCGGCCGACCAAGCGGCGTGAGTGTGGTGCGGTCTCGAAAGAAGGAGCGAGAAGCCCCTGAGTCAAGTGTGAAGGTGAGGGAGGCCGAAGCCGACGCGGTACCTGAGAGCGCAGACTCACCAGCACCTGAGGACGCAGACGCAGTGGCACCTAGAGCAGCAGCCTCACCAGTACCTAGAGCAGCAGTTTCAATGCCCGGGTCGGGCGGGAAACACTGGTAACAGTCACCCTCATCACTAATAGTCACAGCATACATGGCAGCAAGAATAGCATCAAAGTCAAGATCAAAGATAGCTACACTCGCCCTTGACAGCTCACCCCAGCGGGGGATCTCAGTGGCCTCCGGGAACTGGTGACGCCAAGCGTCTGTGAGGCGGCCAAAGCAGCGCTGGGTGGGGTGTGCACCCCCACACTGCTCACCCGCGCGGTCACCGGTGCGTAGGACGTAGGTGCACGGACCGGTACCCCCACCACGCTGACGTGCAGCGTACCACTCACAAGCTGCTGAGGGGGGGGGGGATGTCCCGAGAACGCTGCTGCTGCTGCTGCTGCTGCTGCTGGCGCTGACCACCACCAGAGCCGCCCCGCTGCGTAGCGCCACCCCGACCAGCTCCACCTCCTCCACCACCGCCTCCTCCACCTCCGCCACCACCGCCGCCTCCGCTCCCACCGCTACCGCCTCCGCCGCCTCCGCCTCCACTGCCGCCACCGACACCTCCACCCCCGCCACCACTCCCACCGCCACCCCCACTCCCTCCGCCGCCTCCACCGCCGCCTCCACCACCCCCGCTAGCTCCTCCAGCGCCCCTGCCCCCCTTGCCCTTGCCAGAGCGGCGTCTCCCGCTGGGGGTACTCGTCGCACCGACCGACTCAAGACCAACGAGGTCGGTCGCAGCAGCAGAGGCGATAGAGGGCAAAAAGGGAAAGGGGGAACACCCCTCAAAGATGGGGGTGCGAGGGTCACCACGAGAGGCTCCTACAGCGACTATGCTCTTCTCCGCTGCTAAGAGGGCCTTCTCGAGGAGGTCAATAGTGAGAGTGGTGGGACAGACTGAGAGGAAGTGGTCTCTGACTACACGAAGGGAGTCAGGGAGGCGGGTGACTATGTAGTAGAGAGTGATGTACATGGGGGGGGGGTTCCTGGCGCAAAACTCAGCAGGAAGCGCAGCGCGGTAACGAGTGTCACTAGTGCGGAGGTGCGTAATGAGGTCAGCGACTGTGGGAAAGGCAGCAAGGTCAGGGAAGAGGTACGGTAGCATGAGGCGGCTCAGTGCAGCAGTGGCAGGGGAAGAGTAGCACGCAACTACAACGTCGTACAAGGTCTGAGCACTCTTGTACTGACTAAAGTGCACACGCTCGGAGGTAGGGAGGTGGCGACGCACAGCAAGACGTGCAGCAGCATCGCGAGTGGCCCACTGTGAGCGAACAGTGGCGTCGGCATCGGCAGCAGGGGCAGGGGAAGCACCAGAGGTGAGGTCAAAGAGGGAGAGGCCGTCTGCCCTATCGCACTGTAGGAAAAGCTACAGGTCATCTACCCAGACGTCAAAGTCAATGGCCCGACCCTCAGCGTCAAAAGTGAGAACACTGGGGGTAGCCATGACAGCAGTAGACTAGCAGCGCTAACTGTAGAGCAGGGGCAGTGCAGTGACAGAGGCGCTGCTCTCACAAGACAGGGCGGTTCGAGCGGCTCGGGCGGCTCGGCAGCAACTGAGGCTCGGCGGCACCCGCGGCTCGGCTCCTCAGCTGCTCAGGCGGCTCGGGCGGCTCGGGTGGCTCGGGCGGCTCGGGCGGCTTGGGCGGAACGGGCTGCTTAGCGGCGCGGGCGGCTCGGCTGCGTAGGCGGCTCGGGCGGTTGGGGACGAGGGCGGGACCGCAGGTAGTGCGCCGGGGCCGCAGGTAGGGCGGCGGGGCCGCTGGTAGGGCGGCGGGGCCGCAGGTAGGGCGGCGGGGCCGCAGGTAGGGCGGCTGGGCCGCAGGTAGGGCGGCTGGGCCGCAGGTAGGGCGGCTTGGCCGCAGGTAGGGCGGCGGGGCCGCAGGTAGGGCGGCTGGGCCGTAGGTAGGGCGGCGGGGCGGGGCCGTAGGTAGGGCGACGGGGCCGGGTCGAAGGTAGGGGGACGGGGCCGGTACGCAGGTAGGGCGACGGGGCCGGGGCCGGGGCGCAGGTAGGGCGACGGGGCCGGGGTTGGAGGTGGGGCGACGGGGCCGGGGTCGCAAGTAGGGCGACGGGGCCAGGGCCGGGGCGCAGGTAGGGCGACGGGGCTAGGGCCGGGGCCGCAGGTATGGCGACAGGGCCAGGGTCGCAGGTGGGGCGACGGGGCCGGGGTCGCAGGTAGGGCGACGGGGCCGGGGCGCAGGTAGGGCGACGGGGCTGGGGCGCAGGTAGGGCGACGGGGCCGGGGCGCAGGTAGGGCGACGGGGCCGAGGCGCAGGTAGGGCGACGGGGCCGGGGCCGTAGATAGGGCGACGGGGTCGCTAGGGCGACGAATCAGGGGCCGCTAGGGCGGCGCGACTTGGCCGCTAGGGCGGCTCGACGAAGTCAGAGAGGGGAGCGCGACTCGGGCTGAGCGCGCTCCGGGCACGAAAAATAAAACTTTTGACTTGGTGGGCCCTAGGCACAGTTCCCACGAGGGAACCTGCTCTGATACCATGTGAAAACTGAAACGATAATGAATGCACTAAGGAATGGAATGTGGTACAAATATGCAACCCTAGAGATGTGTACCCCATATAGGCTACCCCACTACAGCCTACAGAACATTATGATTTGACACTCCCCAGCGAGGGATCTCAGTGGCGTCAGGGAACTCGTGACGCCAAGCGTCCGTCAGGCGGGCGAAGCAGCACTGGGTGGAGTGCGAGCCCCCGCACTGCTCACCAGCGCGTTCGCCGGTACGGAGGACGTAGGTACAGGTACCAGTACCCCCACCTCGCTGACGCCCAGCTTACCACTCACGAAGCTGCTGGGGGGACGGGGTCTCACGAGTGGGCTGCTGCTGCTGGCGCTGACCACCACCTAAGCCGCCCCGCTGCGCAGAGCCACCCCGACTAGCTCCACCTCCTCCGCCGCCACCTCCGCCACCGCCGCCACCGCCTCCTCCTCCGCTCCCACCGCCACCGCCGCCGCCGCCTCCGCCGCCACCGCCGCCACCGAAGCCCCCACCCCCGCCACCACTCCCACCACGACCCCCACTCCCTCCGCCTCCTCCACCTCCACCTCCACCGCCCCCGCCAGCCCCTCCAGCGCTCTTGCCCCCCTTGCCCTTGCAGGTGCGGCGTCGCCCACTAGGGGCAGACGCAGCACCGACCGACTCGGTGCCAACGAAGTCGACGGCAGCAGCAGAGGCAACAGAGGGCAAAAGGGGGGAGGGGGAGCACCCCTCAAAGACAGGGGCACGCGGGTCACCTCTAGAGGCTCCTACAGCGACTATACTCTTCTCAGCTGCAAGGAGGCGCTCCTCGAGGAGGTCAACGGCGAGTGTGGTGGGGAAAACAGAGAGGAAGTGGTCCCTGACCGAGCGAAGGGAGTTAGGGAGCCGGGTGACTATGTAGTAGAGGGTGATGTACATGGGGGTGGGGGTTCTTGGCGCAGAACTCAGCACGAAGCGCAGCGCGGTAGCGGGTGTCACTAGTGCGAAGGTGCGTGACGAGGTCAGCGACTGTGGGAAAGGCGGAGAGGTTAGGAAACAGGTATGGCAGTATGAGGCGGCTAAGAGTAGCAGTGGCAGGGGAAGAGTAGCGTGCAACTACAGCGTCGTACAAGGTCTTAGCGCTCTTGTACTGACTAAAGTGCGCACGCTCAGTGGTCGGTAAGTGGCGACGCACAGCAAGACGGGCAGCAGCATCGCGGGTGGCCCACTGTGAGCGGACAATGCTGTCAGCATCAGCAGGCGGGGCAGGAGAGGCACCAGAGGTGAGATCGAACAGGGAGAGTCCGTACGCCCTATCGCGCTGTAGGAAAGCTATAGGTCATCTACCCAGACCTCGAAGTCAACAGCACGACCCTCAGCATCAAAGGTAAGGACACTGGGGGTAGCCATGACAGTAGTGGTCTAGTAGGGAGTGCTCTCACCAGTTCGGGTGGGCAGGGCCGAGGCGCGCAGGAAGGAACAGGGCGGCAACCGCGGTAGCAGCGGCTCGGCAGTGGCTCGGTAGTGGCGGCTCGACGCCAGCCTCGGCGGCTCGGCTGCTGGGCGGCTCGGCGGCTCGGCGGCTCGGCTGTTCGGCGGCTCGGCTGCTGGGCGGCTCGGCTGCTTGGTAGGGGCGGCGACGGGGCCGGTAGGGGCGGCGACGGGGCCGCGTAGGGGCGGCGACGGGGCCGCTAGGGGCGGCGACGGGGCCGTGTAGGGGCGGCGACGGGGCCGCTAGGGGCGGCGACGGGGCCGCGTAGGGGCGGCGACGGGGCCGCATAGGGGGGGGGGCGGCGACGGGGCCGCTAGGGGCGGCGACGGGGCCGCGTAGGGGCGGCGACGGGGCCGCGTAGGGGCGGCGACGGGGCCGCTAGGGGCGGCGACGGGGCCGCGTAGGGGCGGCGACGGGGCCGGTAGGGGCGGCGGCAAGGCCGCTAGGGGCGGCGACGGGGCCGCGAGGGGCGGCGACGGGGCCGCGAGGGGCGGCGACGGGGCCGCGAGGGGCGGTGACAGGGCCGCGGAGGGGCCGCGAGGGGCGGTGACAGGGCCGCGGAGGGGCCGCGAGGGGCCTGACCCCTTCGATCCCTAGGGGTAACGATGCGGTAATGGTCGTTGTTGACAGACTGACGAAAATGGCTCACTTCGCTGCGTGCAGGAAATCAATCTCAGCCGAAGAAACCGCTCACCATTTCATCGCAACCATCTTTCGACTGCACGGGATACCAGCCGCAATCATCAACGACCGCGACACGAAGTTTCCCAGCAACTTATGGAAGAACCTCTGGGAGCAGTAAGGGACCAGGCTACAGTTCAGCTCGTCGTACCACCCCGAGACCGACGGTCAAACGGAGCGGACGAATCAGACAATGGAGCAGTTGATTCGTGCCACGTGCAACGACCCGACAACTTGGGAGCAGCAGCTGCCGCTGATCGAGTTCGCCTAGAACAATGCCACGTCAGCGACGACGCAGCATTCCCCGTTTTACCGGAACTACAGGCAAAATCCAACAGTGCCCATGACGCCGAGTCCGGACAACTCAACGCCACGCGCACAACAATTCGCTGAGATTCTGCAAGCTGCCCGCACCAGAGCCGCAGAAGCAATTAGAAAAGCCAACGTCATCGCAAAAAGAAATGCTGACCGCCATTGCCGCCCAGTCACGTACCAGTCAGAGGATTACGTACTGCTCGACAAATTGAACTTTAGATTGCCCGTCGTACCGAAATTATGACCGCACTATCGTGGACCATTCCAAATCAGCCTCATGATCACCTCAGTTACCGCCCATTTGTTGTTGCCGACAGACTGGTACATCAGCCCATCCACGAGCCAACTGCCTCGTCACCGCCCGCCATCCATGACTTGCCCTGCATTGGAGCCGATCATTGAGCCCGAGAAGATCCTGAGCCATCGGATTTGACACCCCACAGGCATCAAGAGGATCGAGTTCCTCGTTCGCTGGAAAGACCGCACGCCAGCTGAAGATAGCTGGGTGCCCCTGGCCAACATCGAAAACCACCTTGCCCTACGAATGTACCTGAGGAGCCGGGGTTTCCGTGATATACACGCACACGCATAGCGGAGGGGGCTTCTTGAGGAGGGGGGGGGGGGGGGGGGTAGTATAAGGATTTTTCTCGACATTCCTTACCGCGACCGTTAACATCGCGTACAGCAGCAGCCGTTGTTCGCCTGTTACTGCTAAAGGGGCTTCGCCAACTTTGCGCGCAATATTTCACCAAACCTTGCACTGCTGGCCTGGCCGAGTCGGCCTACGCTTCGGGACTAGCCTGAACCTCGATGCCAGCCTACCACTAGCTAGCTCGCATGCACCGCGTTGCCATTTGCATGTTTCGCGTGCTCATGCCTTCGCTCATACTTTGTACTTGTTTCACATCGTATAGTGCAATCTTCGCTACCTCGATTCATTGCACCCATAACACATACCGTAATCCCCCGTATATAAGACCCTAGGGTCTTATGATAATCACCCCTAAAAAGGCTTGGGGGTATAATCAAGTGGTATATTTTTTAGAAGAACCGGGTCTGTTCATATTGACATTTATAAGAAAGTAGTTTTGGAGCTCAAAGAAGTGATTTGGAATGCTCCGTTTTTAGCTCCTCCCAAAAATACTCGAATTGGTCTCCACACGGGCTGAACCCACGTCATCACGAACCATATCTGGGAGACTCCTCCCATTGGCCACCAACACCACTTGGTGTTCACACGACAGCGTAGGGCACCGTTTGATGGCCTCGGCCTTCACACCCCATGCACGCTTCGTGCGGGCTGCAATGTCCTGGAAAGGGCGGGATCTTCCGGACACCCCTACTGTATTCTGGCACGTCCTTGCTCATCGGGTTGACTTCACTTCCCCCTCCTGTTTCGGAATATGACCATTTTCAATCGCATTTTTGTAAAATCCGTACTTCTCTAGGATGTGGGGGGGTCTTATAATGTTAGGAGCCACTTGCTAGAAAGGCATAGTGCCAGCGTAGCGGAAATGTGTTTCTAGAAAGAACAAGATAGAAAGCTTGCATTGGAAATGGATTGAGAATTGGTTGAATCAGAAGTGACACAGCAATGTATTTATGGACCCACCTAACTCTCTCAGGATGGCCCCATTCACACCAATAATGGTGCACCAATAATTCTACCCCCTACCCTCCAGTAATGCTAGGCTCCAATGATTCTGGCCCTACAATAATTGCGACAATTATTGTAGGACCTGGAGGCTTATAAAGGGGACTACACTAAAACCGAACAGCACACTGGTATACAGTATTCGTTATACTATACTTGGATTTCCAACACTCCCCCTTGTTGTAAGTTTTAGTGAATTCGTTTTTCTTGGAGGATGGGGTGGATGAGGTGGTGTACCACCGCAGAGGTAGGGATGCTCCCAACCCAAACCAAGCTAGGGTTTGGTGCTGGCCAAGCTGCTGGTCACTGTAGCACATTTCCCTTTCCAAGCTCTTTTTGCTCCCAAACTCCAACCAAACCATCTTTCCTCACGTTTTCCAATCCTCCCTTCCAATCTCAACTTTCCAGATCCAGATCCAATGAGTTATGGCTGCTGCAAAGGGAATCGTAGCAGATCCATGACGAAATCTTTTCAAAACCATGGCGGAATGCGCATATCATCATGGCGGAATGCCCTTAGCGCACACCAAATTTTCGAAACCGTAGACGTTACGACACGCGAGTATCCATGCTACTGCGTTTTTCGCATGCCTCCTGTGCAACGACGCGAAACCGCAGCGGATGCGCGTCTACAATGACTGCAGCTGCGGATGACGCGAATTGGTAGCGGATAACGCATGGCGTACGAGTGGCGCGGAACTGCATTGGTGGGCGCACACTTCGCGCGATAGAAGCAACGACTTGGCGTTCGTGAGCGGCTGACGATCTGCTGCGCGCCTACTGCTGCATCTTCCTGTCCGTGCTTGCTGCATCTTCGTGGGTCTTTTCTCCCCTTGCCTTCCTGCCCTGCCTTTCTCCATAAACCTTGCCCTTCTCCCCCTGCCTCGTGATGTGATGGCATCAGGTTGTGCAAGTCTTGAATGCACACCAGCAGATGATGCCAAGTCTGCTCGAACTTCACCCATATTGTCATGTGATGCTCCCCCTACACTTCAGATGTATGGGAGCCGCTAGAGTTGCGGAACTTCATCAGCTCGAGGTTGCACATGTCGACGCAAAGCTGGATGACAGGTGCGCCCCAAGTGTGCAGAAATGTGCACTCCAAGGCTGTAGTGCACCCCAAGTAAGCAGTTTTGTGCACCCCTGGTATGCAGTAACACCAAGATTGCAGATATGTGCACACCAAGTATGCAGCAAGGTGCATACCAGGTATGCAGAAAAGTGTGCTCCCATGTTTGTTCTCCGTATGGTGAGTAGGTCTTCCCCGTATGCTTCGTGACTCCATGTCCCAGTTCAGTACCATCAGATACACTCGACACCCAATCACCCCCCCCCCCCCCACCCATGTGCTTGTAGTCATGCACCTAACCTCGTACTCAGCTACAAGCACGTGAGTGCGTGTGGAATTAGGTGACGCCATGTTGTGCAGCATAGCTCGAGGAGGCCGCACAAGGGAGGACAACACCAGCATTCTTGACTTGACGATTGTCTCCAGATGGTACACCAGGGAGAATTGGTTAAAGCCCACTCAGAAAACTGCAGGTGAGATGCTGCTTGGAGGTGACTGGTTTGGTAAGGTAATCGGCTGCTTGCTTGGCTGTTGGACAGTACTCCAACCATACCACGCCATCACGCACCGCTTTACGGGTCCAGTGGTAACGCACCTCCATGTGCTTAGTGCGTTGACTCATTTGTTCCCCTTTTCCAAGGGCAATCGCACTCTAGTTATCCACATAAAGAACCGTGGGTTCTCTTTGTGGAAAGCCAAGGTCTGCACACAGTCGTCGTAGATGAGCTGCTTCCCTTGCTCCGTCAAACATGGCAATGTACTCAGCTTCTGTTGTGGAGGTAGCGATGACCGTTTGCCGTTTCGTCCTCCAGCTGACAGCAGCTCCCCCCAGCGTAAACACATAGCCTCCCACCGAGTGACATCCAACCTCATTTGCATAGTCAGAGTCGGTGTATCCACGAAGCACCAATTCTCCTTCTCCATAAACCAATCCAATCTCAGCAATGTTCTGACCAGGGGCGTATGTCCCATCATATGTTCCCCACGTCTGTCCACAGCCTTTCACCACCCAGCGTGCCTTGAACCTGCTTGGCTGGCCTTTGTCATCTCATTTAACCCTGAAGATAATTCCCTCCGTCAACACCGGGACTCCCTTTGGTACGTCCGCCCTGTCCACCACTTCATACGCTCCCAGCTCGTCAAATTTGGTGAGCTCCGCGTTGACTGCCGCTTGCCAAAAATGTGCGTATGGATCCGTGGTCAGTTCTTTGAGTGACTTTGGCTCTTTGTAGGTCAGGTCGACCATGGGGACAGTTGCAGCTGCACATCCCAACACGTGTTGCTGCAAGCTGGGAAGGCTGTTGACTCCTTGTAGCATGTCTTCCTCAGTCCACATGGCTTGTCATGCTTGACGCTTTCCAAGTAGCACGTCCAGCCCTGTCATGCGGTGCGCAGCTTGTCCTTCTTCTCCGAGCACAGTTACAGTCGGATCAAAGTGAACTCGTCGTTGTGGTGCACTTTGTTCGGCCAGTGGAATTCCTTCAGGTGGGTAGGCAAAGTCATAAAGGTGACATGTCTCGTTCTCCATGCCATGGTCTTCCCCGTTCTCTGAAATGGAAACACTTGCCG